TATATTTCTCGACATGCGAGACACAGGCAGACTACGAGCCTGATCATGTGGTACAACAAAGTCGGGTAGTGGAGAGGGATATTCAGTGATCTATTGTGTTCACATAGGAATGTTTCAGGGCTAAATCAATTAAATAGTAAAGGAGTAGGAGTTGAGAGTAAGAATAAAAGTGGATATAAACTGTCAGGACGCGGAACAATTTAGAAAATCTGCGTGTTTTCATGATCCTAGCATTTTTCCTGGTCAGTTTGCACGGAACATATGGAAAAGTATCAAAGGAAAATGAGGTAGTTCTACAAGAAAGCACCGCGCTGGATGGTGGGTTGCATTTCGAAGGAGAAAACTCAGCCGAATGAACGTACTTATTTGGATCATTACCAACATACGGTCGCTCGTGGAAAAATTAGAAGAGCTCAAAAGTATAACAAGCTGCCACGAATACTCCCAACTTGGTGTCATTATGTTACAGGCAATCTGACTGCCCGATGACGTGAAAGATACATCTACGGAACTTGACGGATTTACAATGCATCGCGTTGACCGCCCGTGTACGCGCCGTGGCGGTGGAGTTATCACATAAATTCTTCATGGTGCACACCGACAAAAATTACTTTTTGCAGCGCATTAGCTGCTTAGTCATAAAATGCAAGCCTCGCTATCTGAGCGGCTATCGTTTGATTTTATTAGCCAATGTTTATATTTATCCCAGGTGTGCTATAGCTGGGGCCGAAAACTTTTATGACGATTTTACCGTTACCGTCGTTGAACATCCAGCTTTATGTGTTTTGGCCGGTGAGTTCAATCGATTCAACACTGGTTTCATTACTAATCTAGGACTGAAGAACATGATGCAGTCTACAATCAGGTTACAAGCAACACTAGACAGTGTTTGTCGACGACTTGAAAACCTTGTTTGTTGGTGGCAAGGCACCGCTTGGAAGTCCAAACTATGCTACCGTAAAGTTATCTCCCATAATCTATGGCAAAACGAATTACAATGATATGATTCTCTACAAAGATCACAACTTAACGCAAAGACAATGTCTTCTCCGCAACATTAAGCTATTACGCGAAACTATAGCCTCTACATACTTCAATATATTTTACAACTTTGATGTATCGAAGTACTGTGATCAGTTAACCAGCTACTTGAACCTTTGCTTTGCTATTTTTGTCCTTTGGAAACCATTTTCATCCGCGCAGACTGGTTTTCATCTGCCTTAAAAGACTGCGCAGACTCAAAGTAAAAGCTTAAAAGCGCGAAGACGCCGCTACAGTATGGTCCTAATCGGCTAATATAAAAAATAAAATGGACCGCCTCAACCATATGTCGATCCAAACTGTACTTGGAAAGAAATATGGAAAATCATGAAGAACCTGAGTGGATTTGACAGAAGTGTCACACACACTACTCTCGATGTGGGGGAATTAAACCGCAACTTCTGTGGTCATATAAATGATTCAGCATTGCACTTAGCATCTTTGCCGTTGCGACTCTCCCCAACAACTTCACGACACACGGATAAACTCGTGCAAAATGCCAGTTCCCGATAGTCTGTCTCCTGTACTCCTCAAGGAATGTGTTAGTGTCTTGGCACAGCTTCCGAACTGTATAGCATGTGCCGACATCAAGACAAGATAGCCGGCTGCTGGTGAGGCGCCCGCATTGCACCTGTAACGAGAAAAGGAACTTGTAAATACCGACCCATTGCTTGTAGTTCGCATTTTGGAAAGGATGCTTGCCAAAACCCCCTTTAGCGATCCTTTTCACTCCGCCTATCGCAGTTCTAGGTCCACTTTGGATGCATTAGCCTGTCTTGTGCACTCTGTGCTTTCATCACTCGATAGTAAAAACAAGGTTGCGCAGATCTTCCTAGATTACAGCAATGCTTTCAGTTATGTAAACCGCGAGCTACTGTTACACGATCCGCTCGTTTCCGGAGTTCACTCTTCATTAGTACATTTTCTTGCAGACTATTTTGCCAATCGTACGTAGTTTACCAGATTCGGGGGTAAAAGCTCCTGCTCACCACAAATTCTGCTGTTCTTAGGGGAGCTATTTTGTCCCTGTTCCTATTTCCTACATTCATTAACTCATTTCCCGCTCCAAAGGAAGCCATCCTGCTGAGGTATATTGATGACATGATCCTTGGTGTATCCAATCACCACAGCTCTATCGGTCAACTTGCAATGCTTCTTGAACAACCCCACTTCCTTGTCCAAATCTCGCTGTCTTTCACTCAACTCATCAGAGTGTAAATATGTTTTTTTTTCTTGCTGTCCAATGAAAATGGTTATCTGCAACACCTCACGCACACTCCGCATCTAAGTGTTGACAGTGTCAGCCTGCATATTAGCAAAATATCTAGGAGTTTCACTAAGTCGGAATCTCACGTGATCACATCATATGTATGAAACATTCGACTGGCTAGCCGAACACCCTCCTCCTGGTGCCAGCTGAGTGTTTCGGGTTTAACCTGTTTCAGCAGATAGTTCGGCAGCAGTGTTCCAGGACGTAATGGTTTTTCGGCTGGCAAGCGTTCTCCTTATCAAAAGCCACAAATGTCTGCTTATCAACACTGCGACGTGGCGGTCGTGATTCGCCACAAACTAAAGCCACTGCCCCGTGAATATCCGGATAACCCTATGCAACTCACAGACATAAATCATCTATTTTACATTGCCGACACTATCAAACAGCCAGGGATACAGCGGCACAATTACAAGCAGAAACTACACTGCTACATATACACAATTACATAGATATACACACCAGCACAATAAACATTCACTGTTACGGCAAACAGTTTTTGCTTTTATACATGTTTGATCACACTTTGTTTTCTTAATATGAGCCCGTTTGTAAAGACGAATAATGTTCTACTTCTCCTGACTTAGGTCTTCATCTGTGCCTCGTTACTTGATTTGACGGTTTGTCGCCGCTTGCGTAATGCGTTATTAAACCTATTGTTTACCATGGATATTCCTGGACCCTCAAACGAGCAATTCAAAGTGATCGACAGGTCACTGAAGCATCTTGCCTGATAAATCGAAATTTCAATGTTAGTGTTTACTAACATCGTGTTCACTTCTGCGAGAAACTGGTGTCCAAGATACTGATGCTGGTCACCCTCTCCATCGTGCCTTGTAAAATGTATTTCGAATTCTTCGACCAAACAAACGTACAAAGCCATTTATTCCCACACACTGGCTAACAGTATGCCACTTGTTCCTGATTGGCCGCGTTTTCTGATATATGAAGATATTGTCAAACAAAGCCTTATTGCCAGATTGAGTCGATGATAACATCAATTCCACGTTTGCAAATTGATGAAGTACCATATGGATTTGTTTTAATTTCTTTAATTTTCTTTGTGCATTTAACATATGTTGTAGTTAAATATTCGCGCTTTACTGGTGCATAAAGCGCATTGTTGACTTGACTTGATACCGAACCTTGTTTAAGTGTAGACACAAGCCCCAGGGCCATTTCGGGTTGGTGTGTAGAGTACTCATTGTCAGCAGGTGGCTGATAACGCAGCACTCCTTCGCCTGTCGGGGTGTTTTGACAGTGTCCCGGTTCCGAGCTGCCTGTCGACGGGTTTGTACATGTGACCTGTATATTGCGTGCTACTTTGTATAGTTTTAACCGTTTGTCCATCGCCTTTATACGTATTTCGGATTGCAGCTTCTTGCGCATTTTGTGCCACATTTCGATCATCATTTCCGTCATCACTCGGGGACGACCCCATTTGTAATTGGGTGATAACTGTAACCTTGATGTAGAATCGGCGATCACGGTTTCGAGTGAGTACTTCAGGAATAAAGCTCCATTCATCCCAGTCATACGCTTTAGACTCTAGCTCGCTTGATCTCTGAAGCTCAGAGATAGCGTGGACTAGAATCTCTTTTAAATTTATTTATTTACGGAAGTCATCCGGATTTTGTTTGCCTTCCTAACATTTACTTCAAGGAACATCTGGAAACATTCGAACAGGGTATGAGGGGGCACGGAGCCTAGTGGCCAACAAGATAACTGCCTCTGCATCATTTCGTGATTGGAGCATTACTTGGAGTAATCGTGCTTCCCCGTAGAGTGCTGAGTTTGATTGATGGGCGAGGCGTATCATGGTGTCCGGATTACATTGGACCCCTATTAGTTGATACATATAGTCCCCCATTTCTGGTTGTCTAGCAGCTTGTCTTTTACTGAACTTGCCTCGGATTCAGGCACATTAGGGCATATAACAGTCAACTAATTATAATATTGTTGTATGCGCTTTTTCGGACGAATGTGTGACTCCTTTCTTGGATTGGACAACGCACGGCTTCTTGGGTAACTTGGTGGTATTGACAGCGCTGACTGCAGCAAGTTTGGCAGCGGGCAGGGTTATGATGGACGACGCCTTTGTCAACTGCGTGATAACATTCATCGTTTCGGAGTCAGAACCTGAGTGCTCGAAACAACCATCTGGATACTGTTTTTTGACGAAACTGCGCGTTGTTTCCACACAGCCATCATAAGTCGCAACATGTGACGTCAGCTCTCGCTTCGATGGCAGCCACATTCAAACTCATTACACAAGTAAAACTGTTTGTCTTTTTCAGCCTTTATCAGCAATTGTATTCCTGGGCTGCCCGTAAATCAAAATTGTTTATGCATTTTGCTGCTTCGGACTCCACCATATGGCGCGTCTTACATCCGTTGTGTATCGCAAGTCGTTAGTTCTTGGCTGCATGAACTATTTACCTTTCCGCAACCATCATGCACCAATGCGCATAATCATTTGCGGAATTGCATCCATAAAGCCTAAACGTTTCTTTGTTGGGCCAGACACCTGCTCTTAAAGTACGAGGTTGAATTCCGCTATTTATCTGGGCAGAGGACATTCAGCGTCCTAAAGTGGGAGCAACACATTCTCATATCGTCTACCGAACATGTTGCTATGGGATCAGTTCCTTAATAACAAAGACTGCACGCAGTAACAACAAGTACTAACCGATTGTGCTGTGAATCCATTTGTTAGAGTATTTAAATTTAAACGCATAGGGATTGGCATAACACATAGCCCATACAAATCAGATGTAGTCTGGGACAGTATGTTACAAAATTCGTGGGAAAGTTGTACCTATTTTCAGTGTTTTGTACGTTACCGGATACGGAGGAAAAGGTTCCAGGAAATGATCGGGAAACAGTGTGAAAGCGACCATTCAAAGGTAATATTCATACCAGGTGTGCTTCTTAGTATTTTCATTCCTTATTCAAGCAACATCTATTATGTCGTCATAGTCTCCTTGCATCGGAGTTTTGTTTCTGCTGCCGGTACAAGTGCCAGATTAAGTTATCCTTATGACTCCTGACGGCAATCACCTACAACGGTTCTAGGCCATTAAAATGTGTCATCGAGAGATGATTTGGAAGGTAGACTGTTTTTATACTATTTATCGTCCTCCAGGCCACTTTGTGCGGCTGTAGGCTTTATTTATGTTATAATCTTCCCACTTGACACGATTCCGAAATGCACTTTACTACTCCACAAAACTTCTAGCTTAACCGAAGGAAAAATCAGAAGGCCAATGACCGTGACAGAATAAGATGGGAACCGCCGTCAATAAAACATTACAACTGCAGCAGACCTTGGCTGTATTTATAAGTCTATTACTGACCTTCAACTTCTGGAATAGGAAGGTCAAGTGCCAAGCTTAGTTGTTCTACATAGCTTTGGCCGATCTTCAAGAGGTTGGTAAGCAGGTGCAGGCCTCAAAATTTTCCAGAACCTACTAAATCGATGCGATAATCGGTACCAATCGATTAATTGCTAAAATAATGGATTTTCCGGGGAATTCTTGTCTTCTCCCCTGAGATGGCGTTCGTGGCATATGATGAAAGCTTGGGATTAACCAGCAGTCTTCGGTACAGCGTTCTCTGGTTGTTGGTTCATCGTTTTGTTCACTTGCACGAGAAGTGGGTTCTGACGTCTGTGGTCTGGTATCCTTATTCGACTGTGAGCATTCGTTTACGGGTTTCTTTGGAAAGGTGTATTTTCCATCAATAAGTTGAACAGGCGATCGGTAGGCTTTGCTTCTTTCGGTTGGCACAGCGTTGGCCGTAGCTGCTTTACATGCCGTGCCCAGATCTGTGTTCCCAGGATCACGTCATATATGAGGTTTTCACACGTGTTTTTGACCGTCCATGGCGTCCACTCACGTTTCCTTCCCGGTAGTCACGTACTAGCACCGCCTATCCAAGTGTGAACGATCGTTTCTTTGCTCCATGCCGTCGGTTAAATTCCTGCTTCATTCTGCAGTTTCTTTCGGCAACAGAAGGTTCTGAGCGCGGTCGGATGGCGTCAAAAAGCATTCGGAGCTTCCGATTCATCATAGCCTGTGCTGGAGAGAATCCGTCCGGCGCCTGTCGATCCTGGTCTCCCTCACGGGACGTATGACCCGTTCCGCTGACATCATCAGGCGAAACTGTACTTAGGGATTTGTCTCTGGCACACCACATCCAGTCGTCCCACGCGAGTTTCGACAGATCGTGTCCGACACTTTGCACGGCTTGTCTCACCCAGATGTACATGCACCGGTTAAACTAGTGATGGCGCAATGTCAGTCTTGACGTTCATAATTAGGCAGCTGCTTGCCTCCCATATCAACGTGCGATGGTGCCAAAGCACACGAAAAGCCCATCAGGCACGTTTCCAATACCAGCCGCACGTTTTCACCACGTGCACATCGACCTCGTAGGTCCACTGCCGCCTTCGGAAGGCTCTGTATGTCTACTGACTGTCGATCGATTCATGAGGTAACCAAAAGCTATTCCCGTACATAAATGCTCTTCGGAGACGGTAGCAAAACGTTTCTGGAGTGCTGGGTGGCTCAGCACAGCTGTCCCACCATCTTGACCACTGGTCGAGGGTCATATTTCTTGTCCACTTTTGTCACGCTGCTTACAGGTTTTGGCTGTCTCCACGTCCAGACAACGGTATATCCTCCGGTCGCCAACGTCATGGCGGAGCAACTTCTTCACCCACTGAAGGCAGCGCTCCGAGCGCACGCAGACAGTTCCTGGTGCAAATCTCTTCCCCTTAACCTCCTTGGCCTTAACTGCACAGTTAAAACAAATTTCAACGCAACACCAGCGCAGCTAGTCCACGACTGCGTGCTGTGGTTGCCAGGCCAGCTACTAGCACCAGTACCAACCACTTCCTCCTTCGACTACGGAATTTACACCGATCGGTTGGCTCACCATATGCTTAAGCTGCGCCCACCTGCTTCACGGATGCAGAAGACACCGGTGCACTTGCCTGGGAAACTGTCTGCTTGCTCACACTTACTGCTTCTCGTAGACGGCGTTCGACAGCCTCGACAGTCTCCTTACATCGGACCCTACAAAGTAACCGAATGAACAAGTAACACGTTTACGATCTACCGCAGCGACTGACGCGAACTCGTCAACCTCGACTATCTACAGCCAGCTATTATGGAGGAAACAAACTCGACTTCCTTCCTTCAGCAATGCTTTGTGCGTCGTTACAACGAACCGCGACAATTTTCAGCATCCTGGTGTCGTCGAACCAGACCACGATCCCGGTCAACATGCATAAACCGTTTTGACAGCTCCCGAACCTAACCTGTCGCATTCCACGAACAATCGTCGTGGTCGGGAGGTACGTAAGCCTGTTCGCTCTCCGGACTGGGTGTAAATAGGTTTGCGTTTCTAGAGGTTGCATATAGTTGCCCCGTTTTTGATCGATTAAAGCTTTGAAAACAGCAAAATCAATATTTCCCGAGAAACCATTTTAAAGCTTAAAAAATCAAATAACCACAATAACCTGAAAACTTTTACACGTAAGATATTCGTTCGTTCTTTTCGGCTTGTCCTGCGCGCGCATACTTTTTAGGGTCTCTACATGCTTCATCCTTCCCTTTCGCTTGACTGGCTTCCAGGAGCACCGTTTTCGAGGATCGCTGCAGTCGACGAGGAGCCGGACTAGAACGCTTAAATGAATAAGTAATGTTCTGCTCCTTCTGGTATCCGAGCTATTCTTAGCACCAATTTACTATGACAACATTCGAGAAGGCTGTATGCAGTAAAGCATGGGCATTTAGATATATGCACGTATATCGCTTCGAAGTATCACGGATGTACGAAGTGGCCGGACGTATACCTGGTGAACACAGCCACAGCTATTGTGTGCCTTCCTTTGTCACCGCGGAGCTCCCTTCAGACGGTTCCCCCAAACTGGACGTTGGGGTCAGTCGAGAAAATTAGCCTTGCGGGACCATCTGATTTCACAATTATATGAAAACAGCTTGAAAACTACAGTTGGTGGCATTTCTTTCAAAGATCGGATCGCTGTCATCAAGACCTGAAGTGGAGTGGAATCCGCTGTGAGTCCGTTCCGGTTTTTTTTCTCTGTTTACATCCGTATCTGCTGTTCTGATTGCATTAGGTCGTTTTCCCATCTTGTCATCTACATTGTTTACTGTGTTTACTGTATTCACTCTAATCACCATCGGATCAACGTCCCGATGCCAACAGTTGCACGTAACAGTACATGCTACGTTTGTCACTCCGAGTCGCCACCACATGTTCGCTGTCTTTGTTGCAAGCGACAGTACCACGGGCGCTGTGCTAAACTCACACAGCCGGAGGTGGACTTCTACACTTCACATACCAAAGCTAAGTGGGTTTGCAATGACTGCGCAGAGTTACTTCACAGAGGCTTCAAAAACAGCCCTATTGGCTCTCTAGATGTGGCAGCCTTTAGAAACTTTTGCAGGGATTTGCAAGTCTCGACGAAGTCCACATCTAAAGGCGTCGACACTTGTGACTTGCCTTCTGGCGTTTTAGTAGCAAACGTAGGCGTTGATACTCGTGACTTGGCATCAGTCGACATCTCAGTTACATCTTCACCACAACCTCAAGGCTTCGACTGTGTTTGCCCAAGCAACCCTCTGCCTGCAGGAGCAGTCTCCGGTGAACAGGAGCTGGACGACACCATACCTATGATCCTTGGCTCATCTCCTCCACGCGACCCGCATCCGTTTCTGATTACAGATGGGAGCAACACCCGAGAACTAACGGATGACTCGCCAGCAAGTGAGCAGACCACAGGAACCAGTGTCGAAATCCCACGGTGCAAATGTCGCAACCCCCAAACAATCGAGGGACAAACACCGTGCTAAAAACTGCGCCAAGCACACTCAGTGCGCCATGCAATCGCAGGAGAACCCAGGTCCCCAGTTCACACATGTTACACAGCCGAGGCCCTCACAATGCAGCCAAGGCACCAATACGCCTCGGAGCAGTGGCTTGCCAGAGTTCAACCGCAAAACTTTGATACTGTTCAATGTGGACGAGAGCGACCACCCGTCACTATCCCACAGAGCCAGTGCCGATCTATCCCAATGGCAATCCTTGCGGCAACTCCTTGGACTGCCGCCTACCTCCTCGCCCTCTCTCTGCCGTCTACGCGCACCCCGCTCACCAGGTGACAAACGCCCAAGGCCGTTACGCGTCACTCTGGAAAGTGCTGATGACGTCGAGGAAACGCTCTTGGCATCGGCTTGCTTGAATAAACTGAACACAAAGATCCGCGCCCAGCCAGACTTTCCCTGGGTTGTGAGGGAGGCAAGAAGAGAGGCGCGTATCAACAGCACGTGCGCCAACCACGATAGAGCTTGCAGTATAATTATACACGGAGTCCCAGAACTCCACACTGCCGACCCAGTTGAATCATCCCGCCACGATGTTCAGCAGTGGTGCTATATTCGGTCGCAGCTTAACCTATCAGTGGACAACTGTGGGGCGTGGTCTGTTCACCGGCTGCCGAGGCCAGCTCACCTCTCGCAGATACAGGCGCCTAAACTGCTCAGGGTCATTCTTTTCACTCCTGAGATGCGCCAGACTGTACTACAACGGTGGTACGAGCCACGTGGAAACTTCCCGTACGAAGTCAGGATGCATCCAGACAAACCGCGGGAGGAGCGCAGGCAAATTCAGGGACGTAATTCCACGCCATTCAGCCGAGCCACGCCATCA